CACTTTCTGATATACCCCACACCCCTCACTGTGACACTTTCTGATATTCCCCACACCCGTCACTGTGACACTCTCTGATATATCCCACACCTCTCACTGTAACACACTCTGATATCCTCACACCCTTCACTGTAACACTTTCTGATATAACTCATATCCTCATTGTAACATTCTGGCATACCCTGGTCAGCATGGACAAGTTGGATCAAAGGGCCTGTTTCTGTATTGTATACCTCTGTGACTCTATGACATCCCTCACTGTAACACTCTCTGTTATAAACCAAAACCCCATTGTAACATTCTCTGATATACACCACATTCCTCACTGTAACACTCAGATTAACCCTAAACCCCTCACTGTAACACTCTGATAGACCTCACTGATGCCTAGTTTGGGTTCCGCCAGGGCCACTCAGCTCCTGACCTCATTACAGCCTTGGTTCAAACATGGACAAAAGAGCTGAATTCCAGAGGTGTGGTGAGAGTGACAGCCATTGATATCAAGGTTGCATTCGACCGAGTGTGGCATCAAGAAGCCCTAGCAAAACTGGAATCAATGGGTATCCGGGGGAAAACTCTCTGCTGATTGGAGTCATACCTGACACATAAGAAGATGGTCATGGTTGTTGGAGATCAATCATCTCAGCTCCAGGACATCTCTGTAGGAGTTCCTCAGCTGTTTCCTCAATGATCTTCCCTCCATCATATGATCAGGAGTGGGGATGTTCGTCCATGATTGTATAATTTTAAGTATCATTCATAAGTCCTCAGTTTCTGAATTTTGTCAGTGTTCAAATGCAACAAATATCTGGACAATATCCAGGCTTGGGCTGACAAGTGACAAGTATCATTTGCGCCACATAATGCCAGGCTATAACCATCACCAATAAGAGACAATCTAACCACTGCCCTTTGATGTTCAGTGGTATTATTATCATCAATTTCCCCACTGTTAACATCCTTGGGATTATCATTGGCCAGAAACTCAACTGGACTCGCCACATAAAACACAGCGGCTACAAGAGCAGATCAGAGGCTAGGAACATTGTGACAAGTAACTCACTTCCTGACTCCCCATCTACAAGGCACAGTCAGGAGTGTGATGGAATACTCCCCACTTGCCTGGATGAGTGCAGCTCCAACAACACTCAAGAAGCTTGACACCATTCAGGTCAAAGCAGCCCCCACTTGATTGGCACCAGTTCCACAAATATTCACTCCCTCCACCATAAACGCTCAGTAGCAGCAGTGTGTACTATCCACAAGATGCACTGCAGAAATTCACCAAAGATCCTCAGAGAGCACCTTCCAAACCCACAACCACTTGCACCTAGAATGATAGGGTAGCAGATATTTGGGAACGCCATCGCCTGCAATTTCCACTCCAAGCCATTTACGACTAGGTGATGGCCTAGTGGTATTATCACTAGACTGTTAATCCAGAGTCCCAGATAATGTTCTGGGGGTCTGGGTTCAAATCCCACCATAGTAGATGGTGGAATTTGAATTCAATATAATATCTGGAATTAAGAATCTCTAATGATAATTAGTGGGGGGGGAGAACCCATCTAATGCCCTTTAGGGAAAGAAATCTGCTGACCTTACCTGGTCAGGCCTACATGTGACTGTAGACCCACAGCAATGTGGTTGATTCTGAATTGCCCTCTGGGCAATTAGTAATGGGCAATAAATGCTGCATAGTCAGCAACACCCTTATCCTGTTAATGAATAAAGGGGAAAAAAAATTCCTTCATTGTTGCTGGGTCAGAATCCTGGAATTCCCTCCCTATGGGCATTGTGGGCTAACCTGCAATGTGTGGACTGCAGCGGTTCAAGAAGGTAGCTCACCACCACCTTCCCAAGGATAACAAGGGAAGGCCTATAAATGCTTGCCCAGCCAGCGATCCCCATATCTCACGAGTGAATTTAAAAAACCCACACACCTCACCATTGTAACACTGTTTGATTATCCTACACCCATCCCTGTCACACACTGATGTAAACTACACGCCCTCATTCTTACACTCTAATATACCCACAACCATCACTGTAACACTCTGACATACCCCTCACACCTCATTATAACATTCTGACAACACACTAATATACTTCACACCCTATCCTGTGACACACTGATACATCCTACACCCCACGTTGATGGAAGCCTTATTGTCAGTGTGGGATATATCACTATGCAGACAGTGCTCAATGTCAGTGTGGATGAAAGAATTTTTTGTCACAATGGCAAATGAGTACGGGATGCTTAGTTTGAAAATGTGGAATGAATTATATCATGACCCTTGATCCCAACCTGCATTGACTCTTAAGGTCAGTTGAGAACCAGTGTTGGCTTTAGTTCCTGCAACATAATGCGAGCAAAGGGTTTTTGTGTGTGTGAGAGAGTTTGTGTGTGCTTGTGTCTGTGTGTGTGTGAGTGTGTGTTTGTGTGTCTGTGTGTGTGTTTGTGTGTCTGTGTGTGTGTGTCTGTGTGTGTGTGTGCGTGTGTGTGTTTGAATTATGTCCATTTGAAATTGCTGCGAAGGCAGTAAGAGTACAGTTCAGTGCCATTGTGTGTGTGTAAGTAGTTTTGGTTCAGTGGAGTTGCTCTGATGGGAGAGTTTGAGTCCAGCTCAGTGGTTGGATATCGTCAGGGACTGTTTGTCTTTGTTTTTTCATTAAACTCAGAAGCTGCGCTTTTCTGGAAGGGGGCGCCCACTGTCTCCCCTGAGGGGTATGAGAGAAAGTGAGAGCTTGACTTACATCTTACTGTGAGGCGGGCTCTTGGTGTCACAGGAAGACTTTATAATGAGATCGGGGAGCATACACAGCCTGCAGTGAGCTCTGCAGTCACAAAGACAAGGAGCTACTGATAACCCAGCAACTGGAGGGGCAAGGCACGCATCGAATATGTCTCGCTTTTGCCTCCTGCTCCTTGCCGCCACCTTGTGCTGTCTGGCCGGTTATGAATACCAGGATGATGACAATTACCTCCTCTACACGGACTTGCTTGAGGACAGCCGCCAAGCAGAAGGTCAGACCGTGTTGCTTGTCTTCTCCATGATTGGCAATGGTCCCGGGTCAGTAGGGCCAGGGGCACCTGGATGTGGTAGAGAGGGAGGGTTGCAGGGGTCGATTGACACTGAGCAGGGTTCATTAGTGGTGAGGGGTGGTGATGGGGGTACAGGAAGGCAGTACCAGGCTCGGGGTGTCAAAGGATTTTGCGGACGAGGGAGTGGTGAGTGGGATGGGGGGAATGGCAGTGTTGATAGGGAGTTCAGGGGCACAAAAGGAGTGGGGATACAGAGTGACACCACAGTGATAATGTGGGAGTGAGTGTTGAGGGGAGCAATGACTCTGAGGGGGGATAGGAAAAGGGGAGAGAAAGCAAAAGTGAAGAAGTGAGGGTAAGAAAGGTCATAGATAGAGACAGAACAGAGGAACTACACCTTGTTTCAAACTCAGTCACTCTTTATTCTTTTGTTTACTTTCATTTTATTTATTCTTCAGCAGGATTAAAGTCATTCACTGTGTAACTGTACAGAGTCAGTGTTTAATCAGGTGGGTAAGGGTCACTCACTGTGTAACTGTACAGGGTCAGTGTTTATTCAGCGCGGTAAGGGTCACTCACTGTGTAACTGTTACAGGGTCAGTGTTTATTC